AAACACTGCTTTAGCTGCTCCCATTCTGGACTCAGCTGGCTCGACTCCAGGCGGGCGTAAGAAAACCCTGCCGGAGCCGAGACAACCGGCAACACCGTGCCAGCTACCTCGGCCTCCCATTGGATAATTCCCCGCTGCTGTGCCCTCCCACTTTGTGTTCCTGGCCACGCCCCCCTCTCTATCTGCGCGAGGTTCGATTTATAGGTCCAAAGTTGGACATCGAAGTGTGAGCGTGTGTGTGTGTACGTGCACTCACCCACATATAGGCAAGCAGAACCACCAGCTGTAAAATAACAACTCCTTTCTTGCTGCACTCTATTGTCTTCTGCCTTATAATACTCTAATATTCAACGTTGCTGGTTTGACACTGGCAATTTTTTTCCTAATAGTTTTCTTCCTCTGAATTCCGTACAGTATTTTCCACCGATTTTTTAAGTCCAGGGGTGCGCTGTTTCTCCATCCGCATGAGGCAAAAGGAGGGGAGGCCTCCACCCAAAGTACTGTATTAGATTCAGCAATTCTAATCTTCGTGCACGTAGCCTGAAACGCGAAAGGAATACAGACGTCTGCTGGACCCAAAACGGGGTTCTTGCCCGAGGCCGACTGCCAATAACTTCGCCGGACACGAGAAACTCTTAGAAGTTCCCTTTACTGTTGCGCAGCAGCAAAGGGGTTACCTCTGTCAAAAGAGGCACACCGGACACAAGGAAGTCGGGTTTTTTATACGTTGAGTTCAAGAAAACAGAGTCAAAAGGGAGCCAAAAACCGTTTCAGTTTCCTGGAGACCTTCAAATCTTAGTCGAAGGCTGCTGGGGAAGATGGAGGCCCCCTTCCTTTTTCTAGCCTCTCTCCCCCGACTTCGCCACCCGTTTCCAAAAAGGGGTACAGCGGCTCCAAACGTGACAAGAAGTCTTCCTCCCCGCTGGGAAGAGTCGGAGTCTGCAACCTGCCATGCGGGTTGCACTCCCAACGGAACTGAATTTGCACCACCCACCCGCGGCTCTGCGACTCGTGCGAACGCAACTCCCGCATCGGGCAGAAGAATCGCTTTTCCCCACTGCAGCCGCCGAACTGTTCCCGGGCCGGCCTTAAAAATGCGCATGCGCGCATTTCAAAGCCTTCTTACCTTCCCCTCCCCGCTCCGATCCCGGCCCACCCACAACAGGGCAGTCGGGAGGCCCAATGCAGCGTCCTGCAGTTCAGAGTTCCATCCAATAAGAATCAAACTCTGCCTTCGCGCGCGTCCTGGGCGACCAATGGGAGCCCCGCGGGCGGGAGGCGGGCGGCGGGGAGATTGAGCGGACGGCCCGCGCGCCGCGTAGCTCCTGTGGGGGCCGATGGCGCAGGGGCTCATGGACGTGGACTTCCCACCCGCGGCCGAGGGCGCCGAGCGGGGGGCGTCCCCCGCGGCCGATCGCGACGAAGCCGCGGGGCGTCGACCGGCGGCTGCCCATTCCTCTTGGGACGCCTTCGTCGCGGAGCCGCGGAGGCCGCGTCGAGCCCTGAGGAACCTTCCCGGGGCCCCGCGGGCAGCGCCTTTCTCCTCCTCCTCCGCTTCATCAGCGTCCTCCCAACGGGCAGCCCGCGCCAGGTGAGCAGAAACGGGCCCCGCGGCCTGGCGGACCCCTTCCCGTGGCCGCCCCTCAGCCTCGGCGGTCTAGCAGGGGGCTGGGGCTCCGGGGGACACTGCTGGAGGAGCGGGGAGGCCGAACCCCGAAGAGAAAGAGCTCCGTGGGCGTCTTGAGAGGATTTAATGCGTATTCCTGTAATTGGATTTTAGGATGTTATTGCTGCTTTATCGCAGTGTTTCTCGATCTCAGCAACTTTAAGATACGTGGACTCCAACTCCCAGAATTCCCAAACCATCAAGCTGGGAGTTGGAGTCCACGCATCTCAGAGCCGCTGAGATCTAGGAACGCTGTTTTATCTCATGCGTTGCGAGGGGACTAGAATCAGAAGAGCAGGTGGCCTGAATTATTTGGTAAACAGATAAACAAACATCCCTATTAAATTCCCAAGAGGAAGGTCGCCTAGGTTGCGGTGATGGGATTGTAGTCCAGCTCTCTTGGGAGTGCAGCGTGAAGGATTTGCCAGGAGAGGCTTTGGGCTTTGCTTTAGGGAAGGAGATTTGGGACCCGTCTGCCTAGTTGTGCTGGAAGGCCTTTCTGGCTGAGGCTGCCTTCACAGCATTGGGGGACTACAGGAGAGGCACATGTGCCCTCCATTAGTTTTCCTCCTGGAGAGGAGTGACCCATATTTCGAGAATTCCAGAATGGATGTCATGGAGGGGCCAGTGCCTGGTGAGGAGCAGATTAGGATGACTTGAGATGCAGCTGGGTGTGGTCAAGGAAGCAAGAACTTCACAGGCCTTAGTAAAGTATCTTAATACCATCTGGGGAAAACACTCATTCCCACCCTCATTTATAGTAAGTTCATTAAGGCAGAGTCTTGTTGAATGATTGGAAATGCTTCTTCCCAAGTTCTTGATGCTTATGAAATAAGCTGCCCACTGACTCACCTTCTGTGTCGCAACTGATGTTCGACTAAGTCTGTGTTCTCATCTATTCCTTTCCCAGCCTTGCCACAGTCTCATCTGCTAGTCTCTGCCCTGAGTCTGATGGATCCTCTTGGATTCCAAGCTGCTCTGGAGAAATGTTTTCTCTGACCTGACTGACTACCCACTCAGCAGCCTAGCGGAGCTGTGGAATAAGAAGCCTTCTAGATAATTGATATAGTGACTCCTCAGTGCCTATCTGTCAGTTTTCCTGGAAAGCGATAGTGGGCAATTTCTGCTTGACTCTGACAATTACTTAATCTTGACTCTCACGTTATCTATATGAACCCAGAAGGGAAAGAACATTTATGGGTTTGGAGCCAGTTGTCATCAAAATGTTAATGAGACTCAGCAATACATTTCCTTTGGTGGAGACTAGTGATGGAGATCACCAAAGTCTTCAAGTGTCTCCAGGTGAATATGAATAAGATGAAGCAGAATTGAGACAAGACAGCCCACTCTGGGGTAGATGCAGGAGATATGCACTTTTAGATTAGGTTGGATCCCCCCTTTGCCATCTGGGGGTACTGTTATCTAGTGCTGAAACTAGACACCCACCTAACAGCAATGATAGACTTTAGTTCAGTTTCAGCTGATGAAAGGGAGATATTTAGCATGTAACACTACAGTCAGGTCCAGAAATATTGGGACATCGACACAATTCTAACATCTTTGGCTCTAT